TGGGAAGTTGGGGAGGTAGAAAGGAAAGTATTAAGTGATAGAGAAAGCTCAAATGGATGGCAGAGGAAGAGTCATATAGATGGATGGATGGCAGTAGTTAAGGGCATGCAACAGTCTTTGAAGTACAAATCATCAATCATTGCAAACTTTGGCTCTCTCTGGTCCTGATGAAGAGCTATTTGCAACCCACTTCTCTCTTCTCTCATTGCAGATATATAGTGCAGTTTAACTGATTATCCTCCTCAATCTAAGCTTAGCTAGGTTTGAATCGACCTTGTATTTGAATCGACTGTTAATATTAGGAGGTTGTGAGATAATTTGGACATAATATATTTCGTATAAGTTAAACACTATGATGCATGTTATGCTAGTAATTTATTCATCCCAATAAACCAGATTATTCATTCTCAAATAATTAGACGACGAGGTTAAATTATGAATCATATCATACCAAGCATGAGCATGAGACACTTTTTTCTTTTATCGATGATGATATGTGTATGAAATGAGAAATTTGTGCAGGTCTCACCATACTATCTCAACGTTTCTTAAACCAGCCATCAATATTACGGACGATTATTATATAGGGTTCTTGTACAAGACTCTCTGCCGTAGTATCTCAACATGCTTAAATCACCCATCAACGCCACTACAATATCTCAACTTGCTTAAATAACACGTCAATGTAACTAAATTAGTTGTGATATCATATCGAAAATTCCCACCAAACTTTAAGTAGAATTCACATTTGAAAAAACCCACTAAATAAACTTCATTTCCCCTCATGGATGCACAACTACAAAGGATAATTTCATTCATCTCCATGCATGCATGAGTTACATGGCATGCATTGGCACATACATGAGATCTCTTTGTCATGAACCCATATTATAACATTGCATGAATTGGAAACCCTAGCATGTAATTATACTTACTTCCCATGGTTTATTATAATTCACTAAAAATGAATGGGGGAATTCCAATGGTGTAAAAAGGTGGGTGTGTGTAAAATGGGGATTCCCAACAATGCTTAATTCTCTCTTCACATTAGTCCATACATGACAAGTTACAAGCTTTTCCCATTTTCACCCCAAAAGTCAAAAATAGTAGTAAAAATGTTGAGAGTTGAGGAAACAGAGGGAAATGCTTGGAGATTGGTTAACAAAACACAGACAAACTTGTTTCCAATTTTCGAACAACTCAAACTTGGTTAATAAGATTGCTTCCCATATAACCATGGGATTACATTACTCTCGTACGTGTTGTCTTGGAACCCTACATGAATTATATAATATTTAGTCAGACCAACATTAATTAGTTAATTAAATATAATACATGGTGTTACATAAGAATAAGAGTATGTTGGGTTTATTGGATCTAGGTTTTGCATGTCTGTTTGATTGATCATCTACGTCGATCGATTCATGTCCAGCACTGCCTTTTTCTATATGGTGGCATGCATGTGATCAAATGATGATCATATATATCAAAGAGTGAACCCTAGAAAAAATTGTTTATCATGGACCCTTTTTGGTGCTTTGTTTGGTTTATGATGAGATCTCTCTCTCTCTTCTCCACATTCTTTCAGAGAAGGTATAGCTTTAGTTTCCACACATCTAGCTTGGTAGGTTATATGATCTAATATGAACACATTTGAGGACTAAACATGTGATCTTTATGACGAAATTATGTAAGATCTACAATGTTAGACGATTAGAGGGTCTCCTGAAGAGAAGTTCAAGTTGTTGAGATGAACTTCAGGGTCTTGACGTAACCATTATATATAAGATACATTGTTAGACCGGATCTCTCAAAAGGTTCGAACTATTTGGATGAAACTAATTGAGATCTTGATATGCACATTGGATTTTTGAGTGACTAATACGCCTTCCTGTACTAATGTGTAAGAGAAATTCAAGATCAGCGTGTCCGATACATTAATTCACACTTAGTAAATTGTCACACATATAACAATCCAAACTATTTATAACTAGTATCGAGTGATAACGGAAAAATAACAAATGTGGAGTCACAATACTCGATCCCAACACCTAAGAGTCAAGACCGATGCCCACTTATAGCTAATCAACTACAAAGTAAAAACCTTTCTGGTGGCTACAAATCAACTCCATATGCATGGTTAGATATATAGTTAGCCCTAGCTAAGACAATGTTGATCAAACTATATATTAACAATCACCAAATGTCCCTAAGACAATGCACTTAATTCACAAGGTGGCTGGTGCTTTCAATTAGTTACTCCATCTACATAAGTCACATAACAACAAAAGGATAGCTCACTCCCCCCACAAACACACTATCTCTCCAATTTGCTTCCTTCCTTTTATTGCAAAATCATATTCAATTCTTTCACCCAACATCCTGTAATGTCTCTTCAACATTTCCCCTTCATCCCTAGCTACCCTCTCTAGCTTAGTTATCCCTATAGTTATCAAACTCACATTCATATAGTCACATTCACATAGATGAGAAAAATAGTGATGAGAGGATCCCTATGTATATTATTTATGTACATGTGATATGGTATGTTGATATGCAAAAGCCAAAAATCCTACACTATTGCCCTTACCATGGCCCCATTTCCTTATATGAAACCAAATTTTTTTGGTGCATGACATAAATATACATATAGCTATACTACACTATAAATACAGTACTAGACCTACAAAATTAGGGCAAGGGGCAATATAGGTGGAGTCTTGCAAGAAAATGTTCATATAAAATTATTTTTATTATTAGGTAGATTATGCAAGATGTATATGTTACATACCCTAGCTAGATAAATAACAATAATAATAATTCATGTCCTATGTACTTTATTAGCTTTACTTGTCCGCAACATGAATCAATAATTGCTTTCATTTGGGAAAAAAGAGACATGTATCAATAATTGAATTGGTGATATGATACCTGAATTTGAACATAAAAGAGTAGCTCATTATAAACAATGGAAGATGGTTTCAATTATGTGCAAGAATTGTCTGACTGGTCAATATATTATGTACTGTGGTGGAAATGTTGAAGATGAATGAACTTGGAAAACAATGTGTGGTGGGGCTTATTACAAGCCAACATGAAGAATGTGTACAATGTTAGGTTCATTTATGTGTGTAAAGAGCTCAATTATCTACTGTGTCCTTGTTTTGTCCTGTGAGATGGATAGGATAGGAGAGAATGGTATGGTGGATCTAATCAGTCTCAAAATCCAATTCTTTCTATAAGACTTTTATTTGTCCACAATTAATTAGTTCATCATTTCAACAATGATTCAATCTGCGGCATTGAATTGGTTTACATAAGATATATCGTGCTATGATCCATTTATGTGCAAACTTTAACCTTGTTTGGTTGGGACTGTATATAGTAGAAGTGTCAATGGGCCAAGCAAGCTAGCCGACCAGATGGGCTCCCCAACCAACGCAACTGCTGGCTTTGGTTTTCAACTATTGGTTTCCCAATGAACAGTTTAGAAAAATGGTGGTTAAACAAGAGAAAAAGGGCAATGTGGCAGGCTATTCTTTCCTCCTACATTACCATTTCCTACACATATGTTGATTCTGTATAAACGTATGTTTTGTACATATAAAATTGTGGTAGTATGTGTATTATAATAATACTCTTTCTCTCTCTAGCTTCTCTCTCTGTGATATTGGGATTCAAGAGAGACAAGCCTCCAAACCCTAATTTCAGACTTTGTCTTTGTCCCATTGTACACACATGCGCACATATTATAATATTGTTTTGCATACATACACAAGCTAGCTAAGGAAGTAGTAAGTACTACAATTCCTTCCTTCTCTCACTCTTGACCATAGTACATGTATGCTTGCATTTTTTTCTATATGCATATTCTTTGAACTTTGTCTATATGCATATTCTTTATTCTCATAATAATATCTCCCCATTCCCATCTCCTTTCTACAATACACACTATTCAATAAGGATGTAAAGGAAGGAGAGTCTTTGTTTGTGGGTTTCCCAAGTCCCAAGATAAACAAGTATTCATTCCTTTATCTTCAACCACACACATACATAAAGGAACGAAAATTTGGACTGGTATCTCGATAGTTATATTCGTGTTGTGATAGATCGGATTCAGGTTGAGTATTTTATTTTTGAATACGGGTCGTAGCTAGAAAATTGACTCGTGTATATATATATTTTAAAGGGAAATACTCAATTTTTTTTCTTATTAAAAATTTGAGAAACAATATCATATGATGAATGAAATGTAATTATTCAAAAAATGAAGGTTCTCACCTAATTAAAATTTATTATCGTTAAAATATCATGCAATAAAAGTAAAATTCTAATGCATTTGAGTAAAAAAAACATTTATTTTAGACAAAATGGGCAGAGAATGAAATTTACCAGGATAGATCAGATTGAAGCGACTACCCATATCAATCTCATATCTAATTGAACAGATCGAATAAAATGAATAAGATCCAATTTGTCATTCGTCTATACAGATAAAAATTAAAATATATAATTCAAGAAAATAGGAAAGAAGGAGGACCTTCTCTTCCTTTCTCCTTTCTCCTCACTGCACTTTCTCAGCCCATTCCCTCTTGTTTCCTCCTTCTCCCTCTTTGCTTCCACCATATAATAATAATAAAAACATTTCCTATTATCATTATTTTGTTCTCTAATGTTTAGTCACACCTCAACAAGTGACATCTTGTCTCCCCTTCTCTCTTCTCTCTCCATAATTTTTTTACTCAATTGGGTCACCTTTATCAACCCTCAACACTTGATCCCTCTCCTTCATTCATCTGAATCCCTTCTTCCTCACACTCCTCCTTCTCTAGCCATAAAAAAAACCCTTCCTTTTCTCTCTAGGCCCAATCCTCTTCTTCTTGTTGTTCTTCTTCCCTTTTGGGGTCTTGAATTGATTCCTTCCCATCATAACTCCCCTTTTTGAGTCTTCGTCTTCTTCTTCTTCTTCTTCTTCTTCTTCTTCTTCTTCTTCTTCTTCAATGGCTGATCCCTATTCCAATTACTTCCACAACAATGGCTCCTACAACAGCAACAGCAGCAATTGGCACTTCAACCTCCCTCACCACACCAATAATTACCTCAACCATCTCCACCACTTCTCCTCCACCACCTCATCATCATCACCACCTTCTTCCTTCACTTATAACTTCTTCTCCTCAGCACCATCATCAAGAGATCACCAATACAATCGATTCTACACCAGCAGCCAGCAGAATCAGCAGCAGCAGTTTCATCATCATGAATACTCACCACCACCATCACCTCCAATCAGGGAAGCACTCCCACTGCTGGGCTGCCTCAGCCCAACAACAAGGCCCATGGACCTGGACCATCATCATCAGCTCATCACATCATCATCATCATGTGATGATGATGAAGAAAAAGATGGCACTGTTACTGTGGCTCTACATTTAGGGCTTCCTAGCCCAATATCTTCCTCCACAACAGCAGCAACCACAGTGGAGATTTCAGCTACTACTACAATATCAGCAGCATTACTTAATGATAATCATAATCATGGTGGTGATGATGATGATGATCATTATAGTAATGGGAGTAGCAGTAACAATAATCAGGTGCAGCAGCTCCATGGTAGTAATTATAATAATGGAGGAGGAGGAGGAGGGATGATGGTGATAAACAGGATAAACAGAGGACAGTACTGGATCCCAACACCAGCCCAGATCCTGATTGGCCCAACTCAGTTCTCTTGCCCTCTTTGCTTCAAGACCTTCAACCGCTACAACAACATGCAGGTACCCAAAAAAAAAAGAATCTCCCTTTCTCCCTCAAATTTCACATCTTTGTTCATTTACATTTATGGTGGTATGAAATGAAAGCAAAAGGTAATAAGGTATGATTTTGCAGACTGCAGTTTGAAAAAGCTTTTGCCTTTGGCCTTTCCCTTTCTCTCCTCATTTCTGTTACTCTCCCTTCAACCCCTTTTGATTTACGCAGAAACAAATTAATTGAAGTGTACCTTACTATAAAAAAATGAGATAAGAGAGAGAGGAGAAATTAAGAAAAGAAAGCCATTTTTTTTGCTGTGTGTCAATTCAATTCATATCAAGGTTATGACTTTTTTTTCTGGGTTATTAATTATCACTGAAATCATCATGGGTGAAGGAAAGAAAAGGGAGTAAGTATTGAAATGGGGTCCTTAATTAGGGTTTTTTCTTCCTTTCGTTTGCCATTATTATAATTGCTAATTTGCTCTCCATTCTACGTAGAGATAAAGAAAACACAGACTACGTACCTTTCTCCCATAATCTTCCTTTTGACTATCACCTATTAATCGTTTTTCAAACTTCTCTTAAGGTCCTCCCCATGTAATTAACTTGAATTAATTACCCTCCCAGACAACCCTTCTTCTCTTTATGCATGCTCTATGGAGTAAAATGATTGAATATATATTAAATCAGTCATAATAATAATATTTCAAGTGTTACATGTAAGTGAAAACGGAGTAAAATGATTGAATATATATTATCACAAAAAAAAAAAAAAAATCAACATACTTTTCATCTACTAATTAAAAAGAGTTCCAACTCCAACCAACAACGTTATTGTTTTATACTTTCCCCATGCACAACATTTGCTATCATCGATCGTCACACTTTCTTTTCTATCACTTCAGAACATCCAGAGTCGGTAATTCTGACCGTCTCTCGATTCTTTCTATTCCAGATGCACATGTGGGGCCACGGGTCGCAGTACCGGAAGGGCCCGGAATCCCTCCGCGGGACCCAGCCGACGGCGATGCTCCGGCTGCCGTGCTACTGCTGCTCTCCGGGCTGCCGGAACAACATCGACCACCCGCGCGGCGGCAAACCCTTGAAGGACTTCCGCACCCTGCAGACGCACTACAAGCGGAAGCACGGGATCAAGCCCTTCATGTGCCGGAAGTGCGCCAAGGCCTTCGCCGTCCGAGGCGACTGGCGGACCCACGAGAAGAACTGCGGCAAGCTCTGGTACTGCGTTTGTGGCTCCGATTTCAAGCACAAGCGGTCGCTGAAAGACCACGTCCGGTCGTTCGGCGGCGGCCACGCCGCCTACGGGATCGACACGTTTGGAGAGGAGGAAGAAGATGGGATGGAAGGTGAGTCGGACGTGGAGCAGCAGCAGCAGGAGGATAACGAGTCATAATTAAGCGACACCCGTTTGATCCTCCCAGAGGTACGAGGCTGCTGGCGACGAAAACCCGTTGGTGTCGAATTGGTGGGGGTTGAAGTTACTGCGGATAACATTTATCCGCCTTTTCGAGTTACAAGATGATATTAATCATGAAGTTTGTTAGTGGATGAAGTAGAAATGTATGAAAATCGAAGTTGGTTAATCGAAGATTAGGAACTATAATGAAACAAGTTATATCGATCGATCGTCAATGAATTCGTGGCTGGCTTTGATCAATTTAAACGGTTCAAAATGAAATTTGAATTGCACTTAATGTATCATGTCTAGTACATTACACTAAGGTATAGTAATAACTAACATAGTTCATATACATATTCTGTGTGAGGATGTATGGAGAGATCATAACTGTTCAAAAAGAATAGTTGTAGAGAAGGTAAATAGCAAATTAACTACCGCAGTATTAACAGAGTGGAACGGAAAATATGACAGCACATCGTCATGTTTTCATTACCCTATCTATCACACAACTGTACATGTTCACTTGACTATGCACACACGTGTGTATGGGGGATGCACACGTGTGTAATACTGTAAGCAAGTGTGTGAGACTGAGTAGTATTACTGTTCTTCATAGCGTGTTTACATGTAAGTTGGCACAAACAAAGTCAAAGGGAGAGCAACAAGAGAAAGGGAATTAAATGGGCATGTGGTGTGTTGTCAACTTCTTGTCTTCAATAATTCCTTTTGCATATCTCTCTCTCTTGTTGCAGTACTTGTATGGTGGAAAATACTGAAGTTAAATTATACGTAGTAGTATAAAATATGCAAAATCGTATGTGTTGGCGATTATCATTTATCAGAGTCTGAATTGATATGCAATTTTTAGTAGTATGGAGTTAAACCACGAATTCAGCATAAAATAATCTATCATTAACTTTTCCGTTACAATATTCAATACATTGATAATACATAAAGATACCCTTGCAATATATAGGGTAGGTTTAGGACATAAAAAGGGATATTGGAAAATAAAGGAGAGGCTAAACCTTGCAACTTTGCCATAGCTAGGGATGTGATTTACATATAGGACTCCCTGGAGGATTGATACGTGGTTACAGAAGAGAACCCAATTGGCCAAAACAAATTATGGGCAGTATAACTAGAAAGCTACACAATGATAATGAAGAGTTCTTGATTCACAGTAGATGTGATGTTCTGAGAGTGACCTCTCAAGGCCACACTCGAGTGATGATTATGGAGCTAGGAAGCAAATGAAGAAAGATGTCCACAAGTCATTGCAGTGATGCATTCTTGCAACTTGCAAGAGCTATAGCATGCAAACAAATGGGGTTTATTATTTATTTTTTATACAAAATTGCAATTTCTTTGTATATGGAAGAGGTATATATGGATCTTGTTGGCAGCTTTACCCTACAATGGTTTTGTGGGTTTATAGATGATGGATGGATGGGTAGACAGAGAGGAGGAGGAGCAGCAGCAGCAGTCAAATGGGAGAGTGTTTGTGAAATGATGAGGAAATTGATGATAAGTCATTTCAATGGCTGCCATGAAAGAAAAGAGAAGAAAGTGTGGAGTCAGTCAGAGAAAAAAGAAGAGAGTATGTGGGTACTGTTGTACATGGTTGGTTTGGCTTCAGTACCTGTACCATATGAGGCCAACCAAACAGAAACCTACCCTCTCTCTCTCTCCAATGGTGATCAATTGCATAAATGGTCATTCAACTTTCAACTAATACCTCAACTTTTGGCCTTCACAAACTTGTTATTGACGACTGACATAACTAATATACAAAGGTCATTATATTCGTGTTAGTTAAGCCCTTCCTCTAAGTCATTCAAATTAATAAATTTTTATCTCATATTTGATTCATCGTACCGACCAAGCCGATTGCTCGATCCTTTACCACTTGCATATGCATAGCCAACCATCTTACATCCTTTACCACTTGCATATGCTAGGTTAGCTTTTCACCGTGCAAAAACATGATCCATCTGCAGATGTTGATCATCCCCAGCCAGCCATTTAGCTGGCTTGCATCAATCAACCTCACATATTGTTTGGTACATGCCACATAAGAGTTGGAGCTAGGGTCATTTCTCGTTTACTAGTGATGTGCTATGAAATAACTAATAAAATAGCGGATTGTTCATCTCATCTTAATTGTCCAAACTAAGTAGCGTGTCAACGTAACTCACATAGACTAAACATAAAATTTTTACATACGTAGACCGTAATTATCAAATATGTTTATCAATGACATGTTTTAACTCATACCAAATTCAAATCAAATATGTTGCTCGATCCAACTAGTATTCTAAGCCACATATATATCATCATACTCCCTTCATCCCACTACCGCTCGGCTGAATAGTGAATATGATTTCGGTACATTAGTTACTCATCACTGAAATAAGCGAGATCATACTATGATATACCTATTCGGAAAAAAATAAAAAATCAGAATAACGGATTGTTATGCTAGTTATTCCCTACTTCGAAAACAAACTTGTTTTAAAAAAGTTAAATGACCAAAGCGTTAGTGAGTCGTCATAGAGTCTAGTGATCGTTTATGTAATTTTACCCGAATTCTTGACAAATTCCGACAACATGTTTGGCAAGGAATGAGTTGTTAGGGTTGTACTTAACATCTTACATCATGATAAGCCTAACTCGAATGAGAGGTGAGGGTGCAAGGAATCGAAGGACTTTGTTGCTTATATGATGTTCAATCTACACAATAAATAAAAGCCAAATGAAAAAACTTGAAGCCCCATTTCAAATTTCCTGCATCCAGAGTGAAAGTAGGAAGGACATTTTGGTCTTCACAATTACTTTTTTTTATTCATTAAAAAGACACTTACTAGGATTCGAACCATGACCATTTTAAAGAAAAACAAAGATCATAACCAATCACACTAAGTACATTTGTTGTATCTTTTTAAATTAAAAACATATAATTGCAGAGAGGAAAAAACTCTTCCCCCATTTAAAATTCCCTGCTCCAGGAGCGTTTGTAGGAAGAGTAGAATAGGGAGTGTCAATTTTTTTCTTTTTCCTCTGTGGAACGGGCCAACTTACCGTACACATGTGGATTTAAACGGGTCCAGGAGTGTCAATTTTTTTCTTTAAGTCCTTTTATTTCTCCATGGTGGTAAAATATATATATATGAAAAGGCAAAACCAATACTCCTTTTTATTGCTAAAAAGAAAAAAATTAACAATAAATTAATGCATGGATTCTAATGGGCTAACTGCTAATCATAAAATAAAAGAGTTGAACGGGTCTGACCTACATGGGATTTGCCCATCAAATAAAACAAATGAACATCATGGGTTTGCCATTCTAAAACAAGCTATTTTCTCTAGCATAATATATACTATGCTATTATTTTATATCTTAGTGGCTAAAATATAATGTATTTTAAAGTTATTCAATGGTTCAACTTCGACCAACTCAATTAGTCCAATTTTTATCATTTCAAATATATATTATGTAATTATTTGATATCATAATGATTAAATTATAGTGTATATTATAGGGAATCGTTTGGTATTTGTTAGTAAAAAACTAAACAGAAATATCTATTTGGTTATTTTTAACATTAAAACGATCCTAAACATTTTCAGTTTCCTTTCGAAATTCTATAGTTTAATTCCCGAATCAGTGATGTGCAAATGGTGAATTGCAGTCATCTTTTTTCTTTCATTATTTTTTATTTTCAAATATAAAGTTTAAAAGTAAAGAATAATTAGAGTTTGGCATGGGTCGGTCAAACAAGCTGAATTTCAAGTTTTGGCCCATTTTGATCAAGTCTAATTTATAATCACATGGTTCTCTGATACCCTATAAAAATCTCAATCCAAACCAGTTTGGCAGGTGAGTCCGTGTTTACCACCATTTTCTAGGGATACAGGAACGGTGGTTCCTATCCCAAATCGTGCTGTTCATTCTTGATTTCTTTAGATTTTATCATGGCTTGGCAAAAAACCAGAAAGCACAATGATGAGAAGATGAAAGTTTTATAAAGCAAATTAATCGGCCAACGGGCCGAGTAAAAGCTAGCAACGATTGTGAGATGCTCATTTCCCGAAAATCGGCGGGATATGCGATTTTTTATTCGATTTTCTAGAATTTGGTTTCTATAAAACTTACTCCACCTCATCATATTACCAGAAACAATATTGTTTCACAAGGTAACATGTACTTGATTTTGGTTCATAAGACTGATTTTTTATTCGTTGCATCATTCATGTCTCTTTTCTACTAAAATTCACTATTTTTATCACGTGTTTCCCCACAAAAAAAACTATACAACAATAAGCTATACACCCCATTACATTATCAAATTTCATACCTCATCTTCGTCCGGCCAAATGGCCGGGGCCCACGCTAGTAATGTAGATATGTGTGATTGATTGCTCTCACATAGTTTACTGTTTAGGGCATAGGAAGGCCACGTGAAGTATGCTATATTTGAGAGCAGCAAACCACATTGTACCATCTTTCCTTCTTCTTAGGTATTTGTGTATGTTTATATTTTCTCATATTAGATATGGGCTAGAAAGAAAAAAATCTGCCTACTCATGCCTTTCCCTCATCATACGTCTTGTTCATATGGCCCTTTCACCTTAAATTTTGGAGGTATACATGAAAAAACTTAAAATGTTAATCTCTCAAGCAATGAGTATTTTTCCAAACCAATGTTTCCTTTTACATGGCCTTACAAATTGGTTGGTAGTGTATTGGGTTGTTATGAATTACAGACGACTGGTTTCAACACATATCTGATCCATTTCAAACCCGTTACTCACCCTAATTTCATTTCATATTTAGCTACTACAGACAATACTTATAATCTCTTGTATGTTCCTTTGTATGATAACTTATTGGATGGTTTATATGACCTTCTGTACTAGTATTGATTCGGGTGATCGATTGACATGCTAATATCGATGAATTAGACAAAAAGAACTTGACGAAGAGAAAATGAAATAACTTATACTAGTCATTTGAAATCTAAATAGAGAATTTGTCGCGATTAAAGTTGACTGACCTCTTATACAGTTGTCCTAAAATATCATAAAACTGAACTCTAAAAGGAAAATCCTTAATTCTATTGGACTCCCCCCCCCCCCCCCTCCCCTCTCTCTCTCTTGTCATGAGGGTTGCCCATTGTTGGAGAATATGGGCAAAAACTTGAAAGTTAAAAGAACCAGACACTATGATTAAAAAGCACCATATGCATATAGTTACGATGCATATCTTTGTGAGCATATACTATTTGGTCACCAATTTTCCATATAGATATGACCATATCATCATGTAGGTCTCCCCTTGCCCTCTACCTTGTGTATATATTGACCAAAACCACAAAAGTTTATCTACCCTTTTCCTATTCTCTCCTTTATTTCAACCAATAGTTTGCTAGCTAGTTTTATACGATTGACTCTATGATATGATTCCCAATTTTTAGCTCTTTCCCTTTCAGTTTCTTCTTTGGTTGAAGAAACCCTTTGCTTGCTCTTTCTTTTGCCTCTTTTGCTTTAAGAGGGTTTTCATAGCAACCCTCTTTATTAACCCTCCCTCCCTCTTTTCCTTTCATCCATCTTTGACAAATCCAATCAAATCCCTCCCCTTTTCTCCCACCCCCCTCCATATCAAGGAAAGATAGGACTTGACATCTTTAATCCCCATGAATCTCTCTCTCTCTCTCTCTTCTCACTTTCCCCCACAAAAGCCCACTTTTCTTCTCATATTTTTCTCAGTAACTCACAGTCATGATGTGTTCTTTCATTAGATCCTTCATCCATTTCAGGAAAGGAGAGAAAACAGCATAGTTCCAAACCATGACCATCAGTTCGAAAGATATGCTGCAAGAAAATAACTGAGCTTTTCTGCCTGATGATCTCTGTACATTTTCCCATCGTTTCTGTTGCTGGGTTCTGACTGTTGTATCATGTAACATAACATAACATAACATAACATAACCTTGGCATGAAATGACAGCTCAATGGTGCTGTCCGAGGTGATGTTTTGGTTGGCTGGCTGGATGCAGAATATCGAGCATCTGAGCCCACTCTGGTTGCTTCATGGGCTCGGGTTACTACCACTGCAAGCTCATGGGCCCAAGGGAAAGGAGGCTTCTTGAAACTTTGAGGCCCGTTTACTATTCTGCTTGCAAACCGGGTATTACCCCACCTAACAAACCCGACCGAGTCGAAACAAACGGATTATGTAGAAATTATGAATTATCATCTAGTAAGGAGAAATATTTCACAATAGTCTGATTACGTTTGGAGTTGTTTGGTTTAAAAAGTGATAAACCTTAAAAAATATGATAAAACATTTGGAAAACATTTGTAGTTCCATGAATCACTCTTGTTGCAGAGAACTTAAAATGGAGAAATCATATGCTAAAGTTACGTTCCTGTTAAGGGTAATAATATAAGACAATAGATGGGAAATTCAGTAAGGAGAGTTGAAAGGGGGTAATGTTCTGGTTACAGTTCTCTCTTGTTCTCATTGCTTTACATTTTTCCCGCTCGATTGCTAGTTACAGGAATGGATTTTACCCACAGATGAGCTTCCTTTGATTGAAACGGCCAGCATTACATCCAATGATCCAGAGAAAGCTTCCATCTTTTACTATGACAGATGTACAACAATGTTTTAGCTTGATGAAGTTACTACAAGCTCATATCCTCAGGCAAGCTGATCTGGAGAAAGTAAAGGCTGCATAAAGAGCAAGAGAAAACTCAGATTAGAACACGACAGAGTCGAAGGAAAGATCGAAACAAGAGTATGAAAGCTCGGAACTTTGAACAAACGCATGATCAAGGGTTATTCGGCAATACAAAAAGTTTCCCCTCTTACCTTGCAGACATGAAGGCCATTCCAAAGAACACAGCCTTAACAGCTTGCTTCTGTCCAGCATAATCAAAAGCTAATGGCAGCATCTCGTGTAAGGTGAGGAACGCCATCACTCCGCCAACTGCAGGAGCAAGACTATACTTGTTGGTTTTCCATGACTGTCTTATAAGTGAAAGGCAAAACTAAGTAGTAGCTTGAACAAACCTGCTCCCAGTAGACCCTCCAGTATTTCAGGATTCAAGCTGCTTGGGAATAGATATGCTGAAATTCAACAAGAAATAGCAGTTTCAGTGAAATTATGTCAAACAAGATTGGCCAGCATTATGCTAGTTTACTCATGGCAGGTTTACACACCTACAACTACAACACCGAGTGGTTCTGCAAACCCAGAAAGTGTCGCCAATTTGAACGCTTCCCACTTGCTGAGATTGGTACAGAAACATACAAAGTCAGTCCGGAAGCTGAGATCATTCTAACTGGATTTGATCCTACTGAACATGTGTTCTTTGGTTAGACCACCTATTTAAAAGTCATGGCTTTATGAAGTCTCACCTTTGTGTTGCAAAGTAAACAGGAAGTGCAACTGCAACACCCTGTGCAAATGAACAAGTCGATAAAGACTTAATTAAATCCACTGACGGCAATGGCTCCAAAAAACAACGGGTAAGGGTGTAATAAGACATCATAATACCTCTGGGATATTGTGCAGAGCAATGGCGAAAGCTAAATTTAGACCAACACGAAGACCCTACAAAAGAACTTCAGTCAATTACATAAATGAGGTATTTACGAGCTTCAGTTTCAGCCATGAAGTTGGTATAAGGCTTACCTTTAGCGATCCGAGGAACACAGCCATGCCCTCGGGCAGATTGTGCAAGCTTATTCCTGGATCAAAGAACAAAACTTTCAGACAACTTTGTATTGAAAAAACCATACCAACTGTAATGGTAACAATTCAGTCGAAATCTGGGAGATCAAGAATAGGACGTTAACTCGTGATTTATTGGTCAAGTCCTAATCTTTGATAAAATCATACCGATTGCGGTAACAATCCCACTGTAGAAAACTTGTCGACGATGCTTTTTCAACATATCCTTTCCCCCTTCGTCTCCATTTTCCTGTGACAAGCAAAGTGCAAAGCATCAATACACCTTTGAACTTACATTACATGGAATATCCAGCACAAGGAAGGATTTCGGGGACCTTTTTCCTTTTTCCTTCTGAGGCTGGAGCTATTTGTGGTTCAGGAATGAATGTCACAACTATAGCAAAGAATATAATCCCGGCAAAAAACTGAACAAAAGCACAGAAGTATTGTCATGATAAAGGGATGGAAAACAAATCAAGTCCAAGCAGTGCATTAACATGTGTAGCAATATGTTGTTAAGGATGGCTAACCCAAAGATTTCCCTTCAGAAAGCCAATCGAGTTGATGGCATTATGAACGAGATCAAAGAACGATATGCTCAACATAAGACCTGCAGCAAAACCCTGCAGATTGAACAATGTGATCAAAGATATCATCTGATTTACAGAAACTGAATCCAATGCGCACAATAATCTAACAAGGAATTTGAACACCTGAGAATCACCTGTAAAAGGCCAAGCATCTTCAAGCTTGGCGCCCCAGAAAGGATTACAAGTAGAGCACCTGTTCATGATTAAAGTTTCAAGTCAGACTCGCAAGAACGAATGATAAGAAAAGAATTTGGCGAGAGGATCAGAACATATACAAATGATTTTTCGGCTTATTCCATGAAGATGGAGTTTGCAATCATACATCCTATCATTGTTTTGGCAGGTAAACAACATGTCAATTAGCAAATTACTAAGATTGCAAGCTATTAATTTCTTTCAAATCTTCAAGGTCCCCACATCATTTCCTTCATCCCCTGAAGCATGAAGCTACACCTGCTATATGAATGACAGACAATCTAAACCTCAAAGACCCCCATTCAACACCAAGAGACATCTCCAATGACAATTCACAGCATGAAAGCCAAGAATCATCCATGAACAGTGAAAAATGAAGAGCCTTCCTGACCAAAACAGGCCAATCCAGACAATAAAACAACGGTGAAATTAGAATAGAAGAGGTTGGAAGCTGGAAACTAACCAAGTGAAGTGCTGAGGCCGCCAACCAGCGACAGAGCAAGCGCTACAATAACCTGAGAATCCATTTCCCCCGCAGCAGAAAACAGTAATAGGAGAGCTGATTCCGAGTTTTGGGTTTTAAACTATGGGAGTTGGGTTCAAGCAAAAGAGCAATCTTTACACGTGAAAAAGGGAATCCACCATGAAAATGATATAGAGCTATGAGAGTCTAGGGAAGAAAGGGATGAATTGAGGAAGCAGACAAACCCAAAACCCTGCCCCACTACAGAAGAATTGAAAATTCCCTCTGCTTCCCTCACCCTTACTCTACAGTTTTGTACCTTTCTCCCTCCCCTTCTTATCGCGGCATGAAACCTCACTGCTCCATGACTAAATTAAAAACAATAAACAAAAACCCCCTCTGGAGTCAATGCTTTCTGTTTGTTTCGTTCACCTCCGCCGTCCGCCGCCCGCCGGCTTCTCCCAAATTTCTCGGGAATTGAGATCTTATTGTGCTTTTGTAACAGCAAAAGGGCTTTATCGGAATCCCAGCCCCCTGAGATTCTCCTTCTCCGTCCTTCTCCTTCGTTTCATTATTTTCAGAGAAGAAAGAAATGTATCCAAAATGGTAATTCAAACATTTTAGGTACCTTAAAGAGAAACATGAGATTCTAAGGGGTTGAATTGATACTTTCACAGTCACATTGTGAAGGAGAAAACGCCGTCGTTTGACTACCCACTTGGACCATCGACTACGTATTCTGACGTCATTCGAAAAAGTGGGTCCCGACGAAACAATTCGTTAGCGCCTTAATATTCCGTTAGCCGCCGTTACTGAAATAAACCCCGCAAAAACCCCGCCCTTAGAAACGATTTTTCTTCGCACTAAAATCAAAATCTCCGCCGCCGCCGCCGTCGCACGATGGCCTCTCGCTCCGTCCTCCTCCGACTGAGATCGCAGCTCCTCCGCTCCACGAAACTTACGTCCGCTGCCGGCTCCTCTACCTCCTGCACAAGCATCTTCTTCTCCTCCACTCGCCAGATCGCCTCCGCCGCCAGATCGGAGCGGTTGATTCTCTCCCCGATTTCAGATCTCCGCGCAGTTTACAACGATTCCGCCTCGATCTCAGGTCTCCGGCTCTTCTCCACGGCGCGCCGCCACCCGGCGCGGCCGAAGACCGTGGACATCGGAGCCCGAGCTCGCCAGATGCAGACCAGGCGGCTGTGGACCTACGCGCTCGCGTTCAGCTGCGTGGCCGGGTTCATCGTCATCGTCCTGAACAATTTCCAGGACCAGATGGTGTTCTACGTGACTCCGACCGACGCGATGGAGCAGAACAAGGCGAATCCGAGGAAGACGAAGTTCAGATTGGGTGGATTGGTCCTGGAAGGCAGCGTGGTCCAGCCTGCGTCGTCGCCGGAGATGGAGTTCGTGGTCACGGATTTGATTACGGACATTCTGGTGAGGTACAAAGGCGCTTTGCCGGATTTGTTCAGGGAAGGTCATTCGGTGGTGGTGGAAGGATTCGTGAGGCCGATTACGGAGGAGTTGAGGAAGGAATCGGGAAGCAAGAGTGTTTCTGAGAAGGCCAAGGGTATAGATGTTTTCTTCTCGGCGACGGAGGTTTTGGCGAAGCACGACGAGAAGTATATGCCTGGGGAAGTTGCTGCTGCGATTGAGAAGAACAAGAAGAAGCTGGAAGAAGATAAAGAAGAAGGATCAGCAGCATTGGCAGTAGCAGATGAGAAGAAGTGACGAATTGGGTTTGTCTTTCCAAATTCTGATTCATTGACTATAGATTATCATCAATGGAAGAGTTCCATTATTCAAGCCAGATGAGTTGAATTTTTGTTGGTGTAGCTTATATACTTGAACTAGGGAATACTTATTGATTCTTATGGAGCAGCTCCATAGCCATAGTTTACTTCAATTGTTGTGTTGTTACTGCAAGTTGATTTGAGCATTGATACTTCAATTTTGTGAGGTGAAATTGAATAGTTATTTTTCATTGGAAAACTGTTGTGATTGAATTTAGATAAATAGAAGGAAACACAATGAATGGGTCACTTTGATGTCAATAAAAGTGCACTACTTTGCACCGGGTGCAAATCAAGTTTTCCCATTTCTTTTCTTATGTACTTTCATGAGACTTTTTGTTAGCCAAATTGCTGTTTCTCTGGATGACACAGCTTCTTCGCCAAAGGGTTTCAGCACACCTTCTAGTTCCTCGAACCGTTCCCGTCTGAGCAGGCTTGCACAGATCTCTAGCAATGATTCCAGTGCTTCAGCTCTTTGGGTGCTTTGAGCATCATCCCAGTCGATCCTGATCTCTTCTCCATGCGCTACGCTCACCGAGCTGCTTTGTCTGGATGGAGCATCGCTAGAATTACCGTGTGATTCTGGGGTAATCTCTCTTCTTGTTGGTGTTGCAGCAGCAGGTTGAGCTTTGTCTGTCATCCTGTCACTTGAAGGTGGTGTCATATTCTTGATGCAGTCATGTGGTTTGGTATTTTCCGATATAGGTTTATAGTTCTTCATCAAATCGGACACCTTCTTGCAAATGTATTCAATGTGTTTCTGCTGGAAAGCTTGCTTGCTGTTGTTATTAAATGGTGGTGGTCTGGCAGCAGCCTTTGGCTTATTACTATTATCCTTTGTGGTGCCATGCTCAGACTTTACTGGGAGAAAGACGGGAGATGGATTTTGACATTGAGCAACATATGGCTGTAAGTGCGGGTGTCTCAACAACTCTGCAGCCTAAAATTCGACAAAAGGTTTAAACTTTGGACTGAATCATGAATATCTGCAACAGGGAAAAGATTAGGGAGTTCAGACGCGCTAAGGTTATGTATTTTACCGTAGGCCGGTGCTCTGAACTCTTCCTCAGCATAAACTTGATTAGTTGTTTCCTGTAGGACAGAAAGCAACTCTTGGTGAGCACGTGACTCATGAGGCAACATTTTATCCAGGGAAGATCAGGAAAGGTAATAAAGTTGATGACTGCACTCACAATGTAGATGAGTATGAAGGTGGTAGTGGAGAAATGGAGCCATGGTTTATCTTGTGGATTAGTCCCGCCATATCCTGTTACATGTTCATGAAAGCATTTTGAGAGCTGTTGTATGAGTTCGTCATTGGTTGAGAAACTAGTGCTCAACTTACAGGAGCTCTGAATGGAGGCTGATGTGCTGCTATCTCAAACATACTGCAGCCTAGTGACCAGATATCTGATTTGTAGCCGTAGGGTATATCTGCAAGAAGCTCTGGACACATGTATTTTGGAGTTCCTACCACCTATGAAATAGAAAGCAATAAGCTTTTGCCAAGATGATTCCTGGTCGGGTAAAAGGAGGAGAAAATGTATTCTTATCGAAGGCATTACGGTGGAGGCAAGGTCATCTTTGCCAAGCAGTTTCGCCAGTCCAAAGTCACCTAAACAAGCAGTAAACATTGATGTGATACAGTTGCATACAACTAAATTTGAGGTATGTTTTGAATTCTCAAGCTCTCACCAAGTCGGATGTCGTTGCTTTTTGAAAGGAATATGTTGGAGCACTGACACCAGAATTTAACATCATAAACATTATTACAGAATCATCTCAATAGTATAATATACAGCCTTTATAGAATGATTCAGAAGCCTACTTTCAAGTCTCTGTGAAGAACACGATTGGAGTGGAGATAGTCCAATGCTAGCAGAAGTTGGGTCAGCCACTTGCAGACCATCTACACCATGTTGGATGGAAAGAGATATGAGTTAATCGATTCAAAGGAAAACACATACGGAATCCCAGTGGAGGTATATATATATCTCTTTCCTTGGCTCCTTACCTCTTCACTGAAATAAGTTCCTCTGGCTCTCCTTATCATCTGATCCCTGAGCAAAACTCAAATGTAGAAACGAAGTACTCCTTAGTCTTAAATATCATAGGGCAATCAATCTTAATAGTTAAGTCCAAACTTACATGTCTCCACCCTCACAGTAATTCGTCACGATGCACACGCATTCCTGCAGACTCACGGCAACCAAAATGTGGCGATTAACATCTGCAGAGCTTTGTATTTTGCAGAAAGCGGGTAGGAGCAACTCATTTTATCTTTTACCTTCCCAACCCAGGAGTCCCTGTACTCAACGATATACGGGTGGTTCAACTCAGCAATCAAGTTCATCTCCTGGACCGCCGTCTGCTTGAACCTCTCAGTCTGCCTCGCCAGCTTAATCTTCTTCATCACATACCTCTTGTTCTCCGATTTGTTAACCACGAGGAATGCTGCTCCGAATCTCCCCCTCCCTATCTGCTCCGCCACGTCGTACTCTTCTTCTCTGCTCCTTCCCTCCATTTCTCTCTGCAACTTAAGGTACGCTTTTGTGCTTCTTCAGATTCCTTCCACCATTGCTGCTGGAATGATACTAATATATACAACTAGAAATGCTTTTGTCAGGAGAGCAGGGGGAAAGAGAAGTGTGATGGAGTAAATGCTCTGTGTCTGGATGTGACAAATAGACAGAGAAACGTGAATCATGCTGTGTTAAATTCTTACCCTCAATGCCCAATATTACCCTGAAGAAGGGATACCTTGGACTCTGCAAGTCCTCGAGCAGAATGTGAAGCTTTCGATTGGGTTAGAGCCAGGGACCAAAGAATGGTGTGAAGTTATGGGGGAAAAAAGGAAGAGAGCAGAATTGAGGCAGAAGCAATGGAAAAGGAAAGGGGGAAATGAAGTTTTTGCAGGTGACAGATATGCCAACCGTGGGAAAGGGGCATTACTTGCATTCTGGGATTCCTCACACATCATTACTCCCATTTGGTTGCTATGTCACAATCCTATTCAACTCCCAAGTCATTCCTCTCTTTTTTTCTCCCTCCATTTTTACGCATTTGCATAGCTTTTCTTTTCTCTTTAAGTAGCTGGGTTGTAAGCAAGAGATTGCACAAGTATAGTTGAATGGCTACTCAACTACATATGTACTTTACTTTGGATAATCAAGTTTAGGATCCCTTTTCAGTGTTTTTAATCCAAATTCGACCTGACCATATAATCCTTGATTGCACCATGAGTATGCCCTTAATGACTTTGGCAATCTTGACTAGGTAAGAAGAGAACTTTTGCTTCCTCGTCAGAAGCTAGGCGTTGTCTAGCTAGCATCCATTTTGTTATGCAGTTAACCGCAATTCTGGAATCAAAACCCAACTCTTTCTAGTAGAGTCTTAGAAATCTTACACGTTTCGAAAGATGTACCAGCTTTGCCTATATAACGAAAAATTCAACTCTTTCTAGGGCGCACAATCATCAAGGAACTCCTAAAAAAACTAGTATCAAAATCGCAACAAAAATCAATTAACAAGGTTTCTCAAATAAAGCAAAAAATTCCCATTTTTTAAATAGTGGGCCAAGTTCAGGCCCATTATACAGAAGGCTCCTTCTAACTTTGATTGAAACTGTTTACTCAGCCCAACCCAATTCACCAAGCCCAGTCCAAACCTTTGTGTCACAAAAGAAAAAACTCGTCGGAGAACGGTGCCGGTGTTTACCGATTTTAAAGTTCAACGGCGACGGACAAAACGGGGAAGTGGGAAGAAATGGTACACGCGCCACCACTAGGAACCAGACACGTCCCCCAGCGTTAAGCAAAGATAGTTCGTTGGCAGATAAACTTTTGCCTTTCTCTTTTCAAAAACGTATCCAAATTACAAAAAAAAAAATCCAAGAAAAAACCAACTACTCAATCGAAGCTAGAAAAAAGAGGGCACAATCGCCTCTCTCTCTCCCTCATCAGCTCCTCTCTCCCTCTCCCTTTCGCCCTCTGGCCTCTATCCTAGGCGATCTGGTCCATCTGTTCTAGGGGTAGGGTTTATTTCCTTCTTCAATCCCTTCTTTCTCGTTCAATTCCGCGGTTTAGTCCATCAGTCTCAATTTCAATCGGTACATATTGATGACTCTGTTTTAATTTTACTGAATCTTCTTTTTGGGTTTTGGGTTTTGCAGGGAGGGGCTTGTTTCATGCGCATATAGAAGCTGAGAGATCGGTTCGAGGGGAATCAAATTATCGATCTTCAGCAGGTTTCTCTACTGTTTACCCCCCTTTCTGTTTACTTTCCTTCTCGATTGTGATTATTTGAATTTCGAGTGATTAGCTTGTTGCAGAGTGATTCTGCGCAATCAGGGGATGTTTCTGGGTTTCTTATGGGGGCTTGTATGATGAATAAAGCCGGATTTTTTTTAGGTTTTAGCTCTCTGAGCTACCGGTGGTTAATTGGTTGGGGGTGGAGAAGAAAGAGTTGATGTCCTATTCTGGTGAAAGTTTTGATCTTTTTAACGTAATTTCCTTATGTGGTTAATTTATTCAAGCTGTGGTTAGGTGACTTGCAATTTGTTTCAATTAGTAACTTTTATTTGGTTGAGGATTTTGGTTGGGAAGAATCTGAAATTGACAGTCTGAGCTCCATCTTCAGAGTAGTGACAGACATTGCAGACTTGTGTTTTTCGCCTATTGTGAGGTTTCGATTTGTCTGTTGAGCCAATACTTGGTGAGGTGAGGATATGAATTTGAGTTATGACTTACGTCTTATGCATAAGTTGCCTGGTTGGGTAGCCATGAGCTTGCTGAATCATAGGTTCTAAATTTTTGGAATTGGAATTATTTCTTAAGTGAAATGTCATTGATTTAGGCAACATGGGAATATAGACTGAATTGGCTGGAACAAGCGATCTGTAAGTCATCCCTTCATTATTTACTGGGGTCCAGACTTGTGTCTGAACTTGTGAGAATTAAGAGTTCTTATCTTACATGAATGTCCAATATTTATGAATATCAACTTAGAAGATATATAGGATTCATTGTACGCCTATTAGGCACAGAAGTTTAGAATTCAAAGCTGGTTTGTAGGGCTGGAAACTGTGAACCGCCTTCTCATTATTCTCTTGGGGTACTCAACCGGTGTCCTCAGATCCTTTTATATCGATTGTGGACTGAATGCAACTTATAAGCAAGACTTATGGATATATATCCAAGTGCTAATTGTCATTTAGCTTCTGATTCTCTTGTTTCTGAACACCAGATTCCTATCTTTCCTGCAGTGTAGTTGTACATAACTTAGACTACCCCATGGCTTTAACGTGTTCCACATTTCTACTAGCCTTTGGTCATTTTCGTGTAGCACTTTGTGTATGATCTGAGTCAAGTTTACAGTGTATAGCTCAATCAGTCATCTGAATATGTGTAACCTGGTCATTGGATATTGCAGAAGTGAAAATGGACCATGACGAGACAGGCTGCCAAGCTCCTCCAGATCATCCCATACTGTGTGTCAACAACTGCGGCTTTTTTGGAAGCGCTGCAACAATGAACATGTGCTCGAAGTGCCACAAGGATATCCTGCTAAAAGAGGAGCAATCCAAGCTTGCTGCATCATCAGCAGCGAGTATCATGAACGGAACATCCATCACCACCCTTGGAAAGGAACCTGTTGTTGCTCCTGCTCCTGCCCCGATCATCAATGTACAAGTCAGTTTGCAAGAGCCAACGCCCATCTCGGTGCAGCCATCTTCTGCTCCAGGTGCGGCAGAGAGCAACGAAGAGAAACCGAAGGAGGTGGGGCCTAACAGGTGCAACACCTGCAACAAACGGGTCGGCTTGACCGGGTTCAAATGTCGATGTGGGCACATGTTCTGCGCGAATCATCGCTACTCCGACAAACATGGTTGTGCCTTTGACTACCGCATGGCTGCACGTGAAGCTATTGCGAAGGCTAACCCACTTGTGAAGGCGGAGAAGCTCGATAAGATCTAGAGATGGTGGCCGGGGGAGATAATGGATGTGCTTGTTTTTTCATCTACTCGGTATTTCATCGCCAACTATCCTACGAAAGGTGTCCGGGTTTAGAGGGAGACGGGAAAGAGGTCGGGAGGGCATCTATGGCAGCAAGGAAAAGGGCTCTACTATGATGTTGTGATATTGGCGAGGATTTATATGTTGGCTCTGAGTGTGTGTTGAGTGTTGAAGTTAGTCACCTTGTGGTGGTTTGGCTGTAGACTTGATCCAGATTTGTGATGTCTCACCGTGTTTCATATGGCATTTTACCGTGGTACTACGTGGCAAAAAAAAAAAAAAAAAAAATTTCAGATGTCCAGTCTCTCTAGTAGTTGATATGAAAGACTCCTTAATGGTTTATGGCCATTTATCTTTGCTTAAACTCTGTAAATTCCATGGCTCTCTACGACAGACTCCAAATCCGTCTACCTTTTTCATTTCTCATGTATAAACTCGACCTCGAATCGTTGTCTGCCCCTAGGTGTTTGGTATGGATGACAATAGTTTTATTCTAGATCGTAGTCTGTTTCGACCATAAGTCGTTTCATCGGTTAGAAGTAGAGCGATATCAAGTTTGGATGGAAAAGGCATTGTATTGTATCAGATCCATCTTCCATTTACCTTTCAATCAAGATTGAACTGGATCGATGTCCATTCTAATGCAAATGTTGCTCAACATGAGAACATGAACGCAATATACGGAGGAAACAAGGGGATGAAAGCATTGTTTATGGCGCAATCATGTTTTTGGCAGGCATCTCTGTTAACTCAGTACAATATGACAGCTCATGCCAACCAATTTGTGAAGTAGATTGGTCATAGTGAACAGTAAAATCCTGTTTAATGTTATTTGGCAGGCAGGCTTCAGAGTTTTCGAGGGGCCTCGGAATCATCCCTGCCACATCTTGTTTCAACTAGCAAATCGATTGTTACTTCGTCGCACTGGTTCAACCACATACCGATGATCGAGCTGATATGATTCTATTACTTTCGAAAAGAAAGCAAAATACATCGTAAATTCTCAATTGAACTGAAAATGAACAACAACAATTTCCTACATTTCCCAGGAGGAAGTAAACTAAGTTAGTTTAGCTTGCATTGTTAATCACACTACCACTCCCCTCTAGTCAAAACTCTCTGATCATCAACAACATCATTAGAAACTGATTCGAGCATTTCGATATAACTCAGGCACTACAACGATATCCCCGAGGCGGGTTCAGATTCAAGATACTTACAGATCCTCTCCATGACCTCCCTCCCCTTCACGCTGTTCTGCATGAACCTCTCCGCGCACTTCTGCTCCAACTTCTCGGCCATCGACGCCAGGGCAGACAACGGCTTGATCCGAATGCTCGTCTGCTGCCTGCAAATAGTCCACCCACTGGGGTTATCCGGGTGAGGATCGTACCTTATGCTCTCCTCCACCTCGATGAACTTCTCGAGGCTAATGTTACGGGTACTGAGCTGCATCGACTTGTTCCTTCCATCCACGACGGTCGACTCCACGCAGTTGCAGATGTCCTGCCCCACGATCTTGTGCAAGAACCAAGGGCCAGGAGCGTGGACGGTCAGGGCACGAGTCGTGTAGAGCTTCCCCGTTTGAGGGTCGAGCTTCTGGTTCAGCGTCTCCACTGCAAGGATGTGGTTCAGTGTGCGCTTGTTCTCCGGGTCGGAGAACTTCCGCCATGATGCTGATGTTACCCTCTCCCATGGATGCTTGTAGACATGCTCCTGCGTGTAAGCTTTAACCATATTTAACCTCTTCCCCTTCTTCCCCTACAGGATCCAAGTTAGTGTTAAACAAGAGAACACAAAAACCCACCAATTCCCAATTCGAGGGAAAAGGAAATCAATCCCTAGATTGTTCAATCGAGCAGAATTGGCAGAAACCTTATTTCCAATTGCAATCCGGATTCCTAGATTTTGACCAGTAATTCATCCACCCCTGTCGTTCATCATCGAGCTGGGAAAAGAACTGCCAGGGACCAATTCCAATTTCAATTATCAATCCAAGCTATATTTGGCAACTAATTAACTACTCGTTCGCTAGCAGATGCAAAGAGGTAACCGGCGGAGCTGCGGTTTCCAGGTGAGATCCAATCAATTACAGAGAGAAACAAGACAGAAATGGAACAGCGAGAGAAGGTAGCAACGGATGAATAGGCGAACCTTTGATTGACGGAGCGATGCTGCTTCGGCCGGTGGGTTTCGTCGGCGTAGAGGAGAATTGTGTTCGGCGGTTCGGAGATGTCAACCGGAGAGACGGTGGAGAGATTAGAAAATGCGCTGCTCGGACTGGCGGAATGATGGTGGCGGTGGTGGGGGGATGTTTACGGAGTTTTTTTTTTTTTGGCGCAGCCGCCTTAATTGGCGGGCTGAGAGTTACGTGGCAAAAAAGCCAACGGGAGTGTGATCTTTAGGGCTAAAAGCCCAATACGGGGAGGCTGGCCACGGACAAGAGATCCAACGGGCCAAGTTGTGAACTATGGGCTGCATCTTGCGGTTGTCTCTATACCGATTGCAATTGCATAATCTCATGATTTGTGAGGATGCTAAGGTCATAATAAACAAGTGCAGAATTAGGGTTTAATGGATGCAAAGATTGGGTCTATACTTCAAGATGATTGGCATTTTTTTTTGGATTCAGGGCGAGGGAATACTTTGAAGTTTTTGCTGTTCGTGTAGGTAACTAGTTGGCTCATTTAGTGACCTGAAAAGTCTTGTTTTTGTAACCTCGCATATTGCAGAGAGAGATTCGACTTTCTGTCTTGGTTATACAGTTTATAGGTTGCATATTTTTTTGGATATAAGATATGTGATTTTTCTCTTTGGCAGAGAGATTCAATGACAAAAATGTTTTGCCTGGAACAGAGAGCAAATGTACTCGTTCTAACGTATGTTTTGTAGGAAAGAAACACAACACTGTAACTTCAAATAAGCGATTAGACTTGAGGATCCATCTTTCATTTAGTTGGACTCGAATTTATGTCAAATTGAAAATACCTTCTTTTGTTTAGTAAGTGTTTCTTTTTATACAGATCGATCGAGAAAGAATGATTCCAAAACGAGACGAGGTAAAAAAAAAGAGTAGTAACTATTACAACGATTGTTAATCTTTAGATGAAAGGGTTGAAACGAGGAATTAACCAAGAATTAAGATATTCGTACGTGGGTGGAGTAAGATCCGAAGGTTAAGGTTTAACGAGGCATTGGAAGAATAAACAAGAAACTAGGTTAATCTAGTTCTATGTGGAAAAATATGTTTTTACTACCCCCAATCATAGTTAGTAAATACTCCGTTTAATACACGTATATGTACCCGTACGTACTTTATCCGTTTAAAACTTCCGTATCCGTATTATTGTCAAGCCGTTTCATTTCCCCCCGTTCATTTGATGGCTCCCGTACTAAACACGTATAAAATCCGTATAACACGTTTATTATCCGTATTTTATTAATTAATTTGTTAACTTTAATATTATTTATATATTTATTTATTTTTAAAATAATTATTTTTATATATTTATGACTATTACCGTACTATTAAACGTAACTTTAGCTTAGAGATGAAATATAATACCCATACGTATTTTATACGTAACTTTCCCGTACCGTATTTTACTAATTATGCCCCCAATTAATCTACGGGATATTTCTTCATAATAATTATATTTTTGCTTAGAACAAGATAGTGGCATGCACATGCCTTCTTTTTGCTTATAAACAACTAGTCTTTTTACGTACGTGCTTTTAGATTCTTCTTCTTGATCTTCTTTTGGTCAATAGTTTAATTTGTAACATATAAAATTAATATATATATATATGTATATCGAAGTTGAGAAGTTACCATTAGTTACGTTCCATTGTCGAGGTAGGCAGGTGGTGATTGTCGAGTGTCGACCATATATTATATTAAATTTTTACCCCATTAATTTTCTGTATTTTTCATATATATATATTATTAATATAAAGCAAGTCATCACGAAATATTAAGTAGAATGAATGCAAGGTTAAGGATAAGAATGACATTAGTTACAATCCAATCATGGACGAACCAATTGAAACTTTAGTTCATCTATATGAATCATGGTGGAGCGCATAATTAACTCACAGGTCATTCGATTGAAACCGAACTCTAAAATCATGTAGAGCCGAGAGAGAGTACAATCTGGTGTCTATCACAACGACTTTATTCAACATATCTAATATTTCAATCTTGGCTACACAATTGTCATACTAGTTGTATGTACACTTTAGCTACGGCTAGCTAGTAATCAAGCTAAGAAACTTGAAACAAAATTTTCAATACTCAATTTCATTTACTTTTAAGTTGCATTTTCATTTAAACGCACATTACAAGTGATTTATGCTAAACTGAAGTTAATGGGGAAAAACAAATTACCTATGAGTAACTGAGTTTTGATTTCTTAGAAAAGAGAACGATACCTTTAGAATCTTCATCAAAGAAATGAGATCTGATGGACCCTAATCATTGCAACAATGAGTAAGTTTAATGGACATTTACCATACCCATGTCATATATATATATATATATATATATATTCCTACGCCCACAATCGAACTTGATTATTACCAATTTCAACAGATTTTTGTTTGGAATAGCCAAACTCGATATTTAAAAAATAGGGCTTGTTAATCAATTAAGTAACTGGGTTTTTATAGTATCAAAACTAGTGAAATAAGAATGTCGAAAAGCACACAAATTTTGGTGTAGCTGAATGAATGATCTATCTATCTATCTGCCTTGGCTGAATCGAGAAGAAATTAAAGAGTTAGTGACTGTTGGTAACTTTTATGAGCTCGGCCGCAAACATTGCTGACAAATACCAAACTGACCCACGACGATTGATCATATTCATCGGTGACTGAGCTATAGACCGCGCGAGCGCGGCCGGCCGTGGAATTCAATTGAACAGGAAACTCTTTCCAAAAAACTGAATATTCAATAACTTTTCTACTTGGCTATTCTTATTCTATTCTTATGAGCGAAACAATAAACGAAATGATCGATAAGAACTTTTGATGAACCGAACATGAACTTTAGAATCTCACTCGCTCCTCCGGCCCTCAATAGTACATTGGTGGCAACTCAAAACTATGATATCGACCTAAACATAGCACATACCACTGCGTACTTTGATTCTGCTAGCATCCATCATCCCCTTAAATACACATGAAACAAATTAAACAAACACTTAACTCTAACAAAATAAAAACATCTATACGACTTATATCATTCTCTTATACGATTCAATCTATCTCTCAAAACCATCAACTATATATGTGACGTGTTGGGCTGATCAAAGCCACATTCCTTATACGTATTTTGCTTCATTAATTAGTTAAGAGTTTCGACCACCGAGTCAGTGGGATATTGCTCTCTCTGTTTAGTGAATAAGCGACGTGGATTCAGAAACATAAATCAGTATTTAACTATCCACTAGGAAGGAAGGACAACCCTATAGGCTATAAGCTTATAGCAAGCTGGTAGCTGCTAAGTTTGTAGAAA